TTGGTGATCGTTTTATTGGAGAAAGCCTTTTGATGCGAGGTTGTCATTAGTTTTATTTGTGTTCGTATGATAGTGTGGTTGGTGATCGTTTTATTGGAGAATGCCTTTTGATGCGAGGTTGTCATTAGTTTTATTTGTGTTCGTATGATAGTGTGGTTGGTGATCGTTTTATTGGAGAAAGCCTTTTGATGCGAGGTTGTCATTAGGTTTTATGTCTTGATGTATTGTAACGTCAATTGAACGTCAAATCACTCCTAGCAGCACTCTATTCAGAACTCAATCAATGATGATTTTGTATCAATTTCTTGTATCTATATATTATAGKTACATTAAAGACATTGAGCGTCATCCTAATATTTTTCGTCTTTCGTCGAGTTTCTGTCTATTTGCAATAATGTATCTTTCTAAAGCGGCTTCTGCTGGATAGAAAACAGTGTTGTTGTAATGAACATAGTCTAAAGTCCCTTCCCGATATGCAGCAGTCAACGGATAGACGTCCAACACAGGTATCCCAGCCTTGCACATCGCACTCATTGCGTACGAATGAAAAAGCTGATTTCGCTGAAAGAAAAAAAGTAACACAACCAAATGATCGAGACTGGCATTTTTTCTGAACTATTCGAACATTGACATTCGACATTATTTTTGGTTAAATTTGGGATACTCGATGAATTTAATGTCGGCTATTTTCAATGTTTATTACTAAAATACCATTTCTACGTGGGCTTCTATTAGACCATGTCTTAAATTACTGCAGAATATTCGTAATTGAAATAAATCGCGGCAAAACTGGCAGTCTGCTGTTTTAGGTACATGAATGGCTACGAAGCAATTCTTGGGCTATCTGTCGCCCTCCTTCCATTCTCTCTAGTGGTAGAAGGCGAAAGCTATATTTTTCAAGTTTACGATAAAAAAAATATACAAAACAAAAAAGAAGTCCAGAAGGTTTATCTATTATACAAACACACCCACTCGTTAGCCCTAGACCAAAAGTAGCCTGATTTCAGACGTGCCTAGGTCTAGTGCCAACTTTAATACCCCCCTCCTCAACTGCAGRAGGATCTGTCGTACGGCATGTGAATGTCTGCCATACACTCGTAAAGACAATGAATTGATTTCTGAAATRTTTTCGAAGCGGTTTATCAAACATCAAAGTGTCAAAAGTCTTTCTGCAAGAGTTTTTCTGCAGTCTTTCCAAAATCTYATCTAGATATAATTTGCGTACCAATTCTGAAAGGAGAAGTAACATGAAAAGCTTTAATTTAGATTCAAACTCAATGAATTGACGAAGATATGTTTTCATTCAGCRAAAGMTATAGTTTTACCTACCTAATATTATGATCCAGTTCACCTTTTGAGAGACATAAAGACGTAGTTTTTGCTTCATCTAAGGAGTCTAAACATGCAATGTTGTTGCACAAAGAAATTAAAAAGAAATCGTCCGCCTCCGTCCGCTATTTTTTACATTTTTTCAAACCTGCTAACTTCGTCTTTCGTTRAAACGTGAAATGTAATTGGCTGGTTTAAAAAATTATATAAACGTTTTTGTTGTAAWGAGAAACCATAAATCTTCGTCAAGTAAATGGTTTAAATCCGGGGCTAAATTAAAGCTTTGTGTTACTTTTCCTTTCAGAATTGGTATGCAAATGATATCTAGATGAGGTTTTTGAATGGCTACCGTAAAACACTTGCCGAAAGACGATGTTTTGACACTTTAAATGATACGGCCCTTTTACTTTAAATGATGTTTTGATAAACCTCCTCGACGTGCCAACTCCCCTCCTTTCACGGACGATTAAAYTCACAAAGCCACAAATAACACATCAAAGCATTATTCGGATGAACTCCATTTCACGAATWATGAGGTGGAATTCATGTTCATAGAATTTTTGTTGAACTGGTATCTGGTAATAGTATYAAACTTAAGATAATTTTATGCAAGCGATGCAAGAGCTGCAATGACAACGAGCTGTACGAAAAAATTGCCAAAGCTACAAATAAAGAGAGGATGACATGGGCGCGCTCTCACGAGTGAGCGTAGCGAACGTGTGTGAGATTTTCAACACGAGAAGATAAAATTCGTTCCAAGTGATCATGTAATATTCTGTTTATCATATAATTACATATGAAAGCAAATTATGTCGTAAAATATATTTTTTCCTACTTTTACTATATAGAGAAACCTCGACTGATGTATTTTCACTAGTGAAAATATCAATTTACGAAATGGAGAAATAWAGGTATTTCATAGATAATTATATGATAAACRCATTYATATTTACAGAAATAAAACATTTTCTCTCTCATTTTCTCTCTAGAAAAGCTGATGCATACTTCTTTACACTTAGATTCATTTAATATGAAATGGTGTTGTGCGGACTTGTAGCAAGTTCGTCAACTGCAACTTGGACGGTGCTTGGTTTACCACGGGGAACAATTTCTGAGATTGTAGTGTCATCTACATATTTCCAAGTACTAACACCGGGAACATTGATGTCATTGATCATTACAGCGAACAGCCAGGGACCCAATTTAGTACCCTGGTGCACACCAGYTRGTACTCGACTCCACTCTGAATAACAATCCTGGGAAAGTTTGACCCTTTGCATTCTGTTTGTGAGAAAGTTTCTAATCCAATCTAAGACCCATGCTTGAAAGTTGTATCGTTGARGCTTGTCACAGAGGATTTGATGATCAATTAGGTCAAACGCTTTCTTGAAGTCGAACAGGACGACGCGGGCAGAAGCACCATTCCCGTCTGTGCCTTTGTACCACGAGTGAAGCATACTAATCAATGCGTGAGTAGTACATGATTTGGCAGGAGGAGCCGACGGTATCTGTTCTTCTAAATAACTGTTCTTGTACGAATTTTTTCCTGGGAAAGGGATTTTAAGCTACATTGCTGACAATCTCACAAGCAAACGTGGTGCTCTTCCTTCTTTAAAATAAGTTTTTTCCTGGCAGACGTTTTTAAGGTCGAAAAGGCTTATATAACGTTTTTATGGTCAAAAAAGTCTTTTATTTTTTTAGTTAGGAAATTTTCATTTTCCTGGCAAATATTCTTAGAAATTTTCTAATATTTTAAATATTCCTTGTCTGCAGAGTTCTTTTTTCCCTGAATTTCTCGCTGGCAAACAGTTGTGACTTACAGCTGGCTGGGACATAAGAACAGATGTATTTCTCCCAGGAACCCGTCGGCTCCTCCTGATTTGGGTACTGTTCCATACTGGTTAGGGTCGATATTTTGCATGACCGCAGGTTTAACAAATTCTTCAACTATAATCTCCTCTGCCACTTTAGACAAGATAGGTGTGAGTGAGATAGGTCGGAGGTGCTTGTTAACATCCGTCACTGGTTTCTGCTTTGAAAGAGGGGTGATGTCGGCCATTTTCCATGAGCTAGGCAKAACTCGTTCTTGAAAGGAGCTATTCAGGATATCCGCCACGGGAGCGGCAAGAATATCAGCGTTCTCCTTGAGTAGCCAAGCTGGAACAGCATCGGGCCCAGTGGCTTTGTTTGCATTGAGGGAATTTAACAGCATCATTACTGAGTGATTTGTGACTTGGAATGGCTRTGATTCAAGATAGTCTGCGTGATGGTTCGAAGCAGGTATAACAGGATCGAGTGGACTGAATTCACTCATTGGCGCAAGGAACGCTTTTTTGATAAAAGAAGCAAGATCTTTTAGATCCTCGAAGTGCTGTCCATTTTCTCCCTCTATGTGCTGTAAGTCAGCCACAGGGTCTGGGCGAGTAGTTGGAGTAAAACCGCTGAGCCGCTTCACAGCCTTCTAACAGACAAATCCACGCTTTAACCCTCTAGGTGTTATTTTTAGAATTGCTCATTATAAATTCAGCGCAAAACAGCCAATCAGAAAGCGACTTGAACAATAGGTTTCTGATGGAATGACCGACGGCCCGCGTCGACCGCCGGCAGGAGGAAGATCTTAGTACTATACTAGACTATTCAAAATTCATTTTCAGGTTGTGTTTAAAGTTAACTTTTAGTAGAAAGATGTCCCAAAAAAGGAAAGCAGAATCACCTTTCGCTTCATATTTAGCCGATGAGGAAGACAGTGATAGAAAACAGGTGTAATTAAACTTGGGAATACAGGGGAAAATCTGGAGAAAAAACAACAACCAACACGGATTATGAACTTTTCATTGAGCAGCCGAAGAGCAACAAAATTCATTGGACAGCAAAAGCAAAACAAATCGACTCAAATCACACTCTGGATCTTTAACTGATAACCAGAATTTGAAATCAAATGGCTGTTGAAGACGGGGTTCAAATTGTACAAAATCGGAAAATCTTCAACTTGAGCAAACTTGAGCAAACTGAAGCAAGTAAACTTTAGTTTAGATTAAGTTGATTGCAAATTTTTACATGCAAATGGACATTGAATGGAACTCTTTTTGGGTTGACTTATTTATATGACCGAACAAGGTGTTTGTTTTGTTATTTACTACTAGACCAAATGACGGGTCAACAGTAGCGGGGATTTTATTATAAGTAATAGCATGGCTCTGAGGGAKATTAGGGATTAAATGTCCCTAAAGCCGAGGGCAGAAAAGTGCCATGCTATTACTTTGTAATACCATGATTTCCGAGGAAAAAATTGAAGTTGAACTTGAGCAAACTCTTGTTTTTTTGCATGCTCYACTGTTTTTAATCAGTAGTAATAAAAACATTGCAACAAACAAATTCATGCAGGAATTGGAATGTGACATGAACAAGAATGGATACGCACTGTTCTAAGAGTACCAAGTACTTTATTGTGTCATTGAAAAGGTTTTCGCAGAATAATCGTACAAAATGATATTGGTAATCCGACCATTGTTACTGATTTCCCGCAACGAACTTTCAAACAACTACTTTTCAGTTCTATTCAATGCTGAAGTTAACAAACCTTAACTTCGACTGCGAAAAGTTGTTTTTATATTTGCAAGTATAATGCCAAGAGGCTTATCAACTATTATCAAACCCTTTGAAATTCGTCAAGTTGCACATGCTCAGCGGTACGAAGTAGAGACTCGGAACCAGAGCTACTCGGTCAATTTGGCCCAAAAATCATCCCACATTTCAGTGTGACTGAGACGATAACCAGACCSTTCATTGCAGAGGTAAAAAGAAGACAGCTGTAGGGACATTCAGTTGTCCCTACTAGGAAGCAAAGTTGTTCTAGCAAGAGGGTAGTCCCCCTAGGTCTCTTGATTTAGCTTTTACGTTTAAAACAAGATGACAGTTCACGCAGAACAGCATTTCGTAGCTCGGTAAGACGCCATACGTAAATGGCTGGATTGACTGCTGAATTAGCTAACAAAATAGCAATAGAAATATCACCCAATAGAACAACAAAACCTTGGTATCCAATTATAACAAAACATAATGTGAATACGACATATGGAGTCATAAATACTATCAAAACTAGAGTTATCATCAAGAAAGTGACGGAAGACTTTCTGATCTTCAAAATATTCTCAGGGCGGACTTGGTTGGGTCTCGTCGCGTTTTCTATGCTATCGATCTCGCGATGRTGTCKTTGTGTTATTTTGAAGATTTTCCAGTAGCAAAAAAAGATGGTCAAGATCRAAASGGTACAGCCAATTGTCAAAATGACTGTAAAAGTAYTCACTTCTCCMAGGAATCTTGGTACAAGRGTCATTGACATAGCTACCCAGAGCAAGGCAAATAGAATCAGAACACGTTGATTGGTGACCAACTCGTTGTATCGAAGATGGAARTGTAGAGCAAAATATCTGTCGATGCTGACAAGTGATAGTGTWCCCAGGGAAACTCCAGATARGATCACTGAAGAACAGATTATAACGTAGACTGYATTGCAGTATTGTTCCCAATTACGATGATACTTTGCCAAACTGTAGACAACAAAAGCTGTTTGAGATRTCAARGCCGTTGCAAAGTCGGTAAATGCAAGACAAACGAGTAGAACGAACGATGGTCGATGAAGGTTTGAATTCTTCAAGACAGTCCAAATGATGATTGAATTTTGAAATATGGTTAAAACTGCAGTTAAACAGTTCAGAATAAGCATGGTAAACAATACAATTCGTTCKCTGGTGTCTTCTYGTATGACTAATGTGATGTGAAGACAGACTGTTCCTTCTTTGGTTTGATTCATGTTGAAACTCGTAAAAGCTCACATTTCCCTCGATGATCCTTCTTTCCGCAGTAAAAATGTGCTGACAATTGAAAATTCTTATTTGCATATGATGCGAACACCACAATACTTCTTTTCAATTTCTATATTGTTATGTAATAAATGGTTATTGTTCCTGTATTTTCCAAAGGGAATTATAACACTCCCTGAATCAAGAACACAGCGTCAGTAGCAGCGCCATCTGCCTGCGCGAAAGAGCAATGGTTGGTCAAATCCAAATTGAATTTTCTGCATGACTCAAAGTGATAAATTTTGATGAATATGAATTTGTGTAAAGATTCTTTAGAAAGGAAGAATTGCAGCCGGCTGCTCACGAGGAAAAGCTGATATCGTCTTGCTTGCCTGCAATGTTTTAAAATTATTAGAATGTGTTCGGATTGCAAGTCCAGCTTTAAGATACGAAGTGGCCTTGTTAAGTGTATATACTGTGCAGTTTTGTTTGCTAAAAAGACATAAAAACTAAATGAACCCAATCCGTATATACGTTATTGCACAATCTCTATTCATACATACTTGAATGGCTATCGTACAGCTAGCATTGCGGATATCTTATCGGGATAATGTATTGACTGACAGTTTGACTTTTTCCATTAAACAGAAGAGCAAAAGAGAGTACTTTCACAGCACGACGTCTTTGTTTGGTTGGAACAAGACTTTGAAAATATATTTTAAGGCAGCTTGAGTGGGTGATGGTTTTGACATAACGTCGATGTTTTATGGTAAAATGGTTGGCAGCAATATTATCAATATTATCAATGTATTTTCAGATCAGATGTCGCATAAAAATCAACATGATTGGTAATCTTAGTAATTTTCAATAGCTGGATGGTAATTTCCTGTCAAGAAAAAACTCCTTTCTTTTCTAGAATCTAATTTAGGATAAAACATTATTCATAGCTTAAGGCCATACAGAGAATTCCTACTTTGAGAGCATTAAAAGGACATACTATGAAGACTATTGAGTTTTGTGAAAAAAAATCTTGATCTTTTTATATAGTTTTGCTATGKGACTTTATTTAAAGCCGTTAGACAGTCGAGGCTCCTTGATAGGTCTTTTTTCAATGTCGTTTTAACATTCAGTCCTTAGGCTGTAAGTAATATAGGGCAGGTGACATTGCAGTGCCTTTTTGTTATTTCATTCGAATGCGATCAATTTCCACGCTGCTTGATACTGAAAACGTACTACATGTTATACATCATCTCTTGCCCAATGTTGTACACTGTATATTTTAAAAAAGAAAAAAAAAANAAAACAGATAAACAACAAATAAAGTTTTACGATAAGAGTTAAAAATAGCATCACTTAGAGCGCCTAATTAACCACAGGAAGCCCAATAGGAGATCAAGTATGGCCTGTTTAAAAGTGGTTAGAACGTCTCAAAACACAAACATTCTCGAGATAAACATAAGGTAAATGTTTAGTTTAGTTTATGCTTGCTCTTTGGTATGAAACACAACATAAAGCGATCTATTTTGTTGACGTGTTTCAGGGATGCCAACCCCCGAACTTTTCAAATCTTGAGAACGAAAATGATGACGTCACACCGGAAATGACGTTTCATAACATTATCTATGACATCATTGCATTTATCAAATTTCGTTATAACTAGTGATTTGACTGGATATATCTTAACCAATCATATTATAGATTGTATTGTGCAATTGAAAATGGCCGCGGATGGCGTGCAGACGTTATTGTTATCAGAAGACTGGGATTTTTGTATTTTTTCAGAACTAAAATGATATGCAAGGTAATTTGAGTTTTAATAGATGAAAAGAGATATTTCAAAAAACTGATATATGAATCGTCATTATCCGGGAGATTAAGCGGTAAAATCTTGAGACCGGGAGAAACGGTCGAAAATCTTGAGACTCCCGGATTATCCGGGAGAGTTGGCATCCCTGGTGTTTATCAACTTGTTGGTTTCACACCTGTTGAAAATATGAATATTTTGGTAACTTTGGTCGGTTCTAGCGAAGCATAAACACATTTACCCAACGATATTTTTACATAGATCGAAAGAACTCTTCCTTGATATTTTATCCTGCAAAGATCATTTGATTTGATCATATCGGTCTTTGTCAAATCGACGGCTATTTTGATAGTAGTTTTAACGATCAAAAACAGGTGTCATTCATAAAAATTCACCAGAAATTTTAGATATAAGCCACAAGTCTAAAACTCGCACAAATGAAAGAAAATGGGTGATATTTTTATTTTATAAATGTTTTAAGCATTAAACATTGCTGCATTAACCAAACGAGGCCATCAGTTTATCGCCATTTCATAGCTCGAAAATGAGCATATTTACATCGTTCCACGAAACTTCAATTTACTCATAAATAAAACGTTATTTTCAAAAACCAAATACATGGTTGTTTATCTTATATAATAGGGTACCTAAGTTCAGAGTATGAGCGAAATCGATTTTTCAACAGTTGGCAAGATTTTTTGAAAATGTTTGATTCTTACCGGCATCCACTCTTACAGCGCGAAGCCCGTAACCGTTGCCACCGAACGATGATTTTTGACATTTTTTTGACATATTTTTGACATATTTTTGATTGGTGGGAGGAGCGACTCGGGAGGAGCTAATTGAGTTTTAGCGCGAAAACCGTGTTCGTGTGAACAGCTACAAATTGATTTACTTTGGTTCAAAATTCGACGATGAATTTCCCAAACAATCGTAAGTAAAGTGCTGTTTATTCTTTTGTTGATATAAAGAATGATCGACTAATTTTGTTATTTCATTTCCTGACAGCAAATATTCAATTGCGTGTGAACGCCAGTGGAGGAATTTACGATAACGGTAGAGCTATGCCACTACTTGTTCGCGAGCGAATATTAGATCTCAATCATTAAGGAGTAGGACAGCGTGCTATAGYACGAGAATTACGTACTAGTCATACTTTTGTTAGTAATGTTATTCAAAATTATGATGTGACAAACTCGTCAATACCTATACCGAGAACTGATTTTCCCGAACCTAAAATCAACACACCTGTACTTGAGTACATCGAAGTTCAAAAGCTCGTRAAGCCCAGCACTTATGCTTCCGAAATTCAACGAAGACTGCTTTTKGATSRAGTTGTTCACCCTACTGATTTGCCAACAACATCACAAATCAGCAGGCGGCTGAGAGAAGACTTGCTATTCACAAAGAAAAAACTCACAGTTCGCCCTGCAGAGGCAGAAAAACCTGGCGCTGTACACCGTCAAAATGAGTTTTTACAAGCTATTTCAACATACACTGCAGGTCAGATTCATTTCTTCGATGAATCAGGAGTTATAATGACAACGGGAAATCGAAATACGGAAACGCTAGAGTGGGTGCGCGCGCTATTGAAATACAGCGCTACGCGTCTAACGCGACATTCACAATAAACTTACTCCATTCTTTAGTTGGCATTGATATGTTCAACATTCTCCATGGTCCGTCGAATGGACATGAACTTTTGAATTTTTTCGACGAAGCTTTGCAAGTAGAACGACCGGATGGTAGCGCTGCGTTAGAACGCGGCGATGTTGTCGTAATGGACAATTGTGGGTTTCACCACGCTCATCACGTCGAGCCTCTATTGCGAAATATGTTGACAAGATGCGGGGTTGATCTGATTTACCAACCACCTTATTCGCCTCACCTCAATAGTTGTGAGTACTGTTTTAATCAGATCAAACAGTTTTTACAGAGGCACCAGATGTTAGCAAATAATGCGATGGAAGTTGCGATTGCTGAAGCGATTTGTGAAATTACGCCAGAGAATTCAGCAGAATATTATAAGAACTGCGGCTATCTCATATGATATGTGAAAAGTAAAGCAAAACTCATTGAAGTCACGTTAGAAAAACAATATTTTTGCAGCGTCCTATTTAAAGATAGCGCACAGTGTACACATACAAATTTCAACGTATTTATTTTATAGATATAACATTTAGATGTTGTGTTACGAACACTAGAACACGTTTTGCAAAATTGAAAGATATCGAAAAATTACTGTATCAGACCACATACAGTTTTCAAGTACGCTAGTACAAACAAACTTAGAAATATCAGCATGATATGTATTCTATAATTTCTTATTTATTTTAGTATGTTTGAAATTTAGTCAAAAGTGTTTACATCAAAGATGAAAAATACAACATTGTGATATGTAAACAAAGATTCATTTGCATAAATGACAGTCATAGCCCTGATAGTCAGCGACTACAACACATCATGTAATATAAACAAAATAAAACAATCCCACTCAAATATAGTGTCTTTTGTTATTGCAGTAAGATAACTAGATGCAACTCAAAGTATACTCTAGTAAGAATACAAAATTATCAAAACAATTCCTGACAAAGTTTATTTCATTTGAACGGCTCAGCAGGTATCAGTCTAACAGTACACCAAGCGTTTGGCATAATTTGCGAAGCGTTTTCATTCAAATCATGAATGGATTGATGTTTCTATTTCTATACTGTTCAATAATTATGGGTAATTGCCAGTCTTGGCTTGCGTCAAAGTCGGGTATCTTTCCATTGAGCGCTTTCTGAAGTAARAGAAGATCGCGATCCAGATGAACCCGGTCACTGTATTTCATGACATTTATTAGTTTCAATCGTGGACGCATGATAGCAAAGAACGATGTAGCAGCTTTTTCTCGTGATTCGCAGAAAGCCTTTAGCTTGGATTCTGCATCATTATAATCTTGTTGAAGCTGCTTGATTTCTTTTTGAAGTGAAGTGATCTTTTGCTTCAATTCGGGGTGTTTATCTCTCAAACGACAAAGTTCATGTGAAGCACACGGGGATGATAAACATTTGGGTTTTGTGTGGCCAGGTTTGTGACAATTTCCACACAGTCGCTCGCGCAAAGATGACAATGGAGTCAGCGACTCATTCTCACG